GTACCCCATTTGGTCGTTATGCCGGTGGTCTTGCGCCAGTACGCGCAGATGACCTCGGTGCAATTCCAATTCAAGCATTGATACAACGTAATCCAACGGTAGATTGGCAGCAAGTCGATGATGTGATCTATGGCTGTGCCAATCAAGCCGGTGAAGACAATCGTAATGTTGGGCGTATGTCAGCATTATTGGCAGCTGTGCCATACCAAGTGCCAGCAACCACTGTGAACCGTCTATGTGGATCGTCACTGGATGCGATTGCCATGGCAGCTCGCGCCATTAAAGCCAATGAAGCAGATTTAATCATTGCCGGTGGTGTAGAAAGCATGAGCCGTGCGCCCTATGTGATGGGTAAGTCGGACAGTGCTTTTGGACGCAGTCAAAAGATTGAAGACACCACCATGGGCTGGCGTTTTATCAATCCAAAACTCAAAGAATTGTATGGTGTGGACAGCATGCCACAAACCGCTGAAAACGTGGCAGAACAATTCAATATTAACCGTGGGGATCAAGATCAGTTTGCGCTAAACAGCCAACAACGTACTGCGGCAGCACAAGCTCAAGGCTTTTTCAAAAATGAGATTGTGCCTGTCACTATTCCACAGCGTAAAGGCGATGCTTTGCTTGTGGATACCGATGAACATCCACGTGCATCAACCACTTTAGCCGCACTGACAAAACTCAAAGGTGTGGTCAAAGCTGATGGTACGGTCACGGCGGGCAATGCCTCTGGGATTAATGATGGTGCAGCGGCGTTATTGATTGCTTCAGATGAAGCTGTAGAAAAATACCAATTAAAACCACGTGGCAAAATTATTGCAGCAACCACGGTGGGTGTTGAACCAAGAATTATGGGCTTTGCACCAGCGCCTGCAATCAAGAAACTGCTTAAACAAGCTGATCTTAGTTTAGCGCAAATGGATGTGATTGAACTGAATGAAGCTTTTGCTGCCCAAGCTTTGGCGGTAACCCGTGATTTAGGTTTGGCAGATGATGATGTACGTGTCAATCCTAATGGTGGGGCGATTGCCTTAGGTCATCCTTTGGGTGCATCAGGTGCCAGATTGGTGACCACTGCCTTAAATCAACTTGAACAGATCAAAGGTGAATATGCCTTATGTTCAATGTGTATTGGGGTAGGGCAAGGTATTGCCTTGATTATTCAAATAACTTAACTTTATCAGATAAGTGATTATGTTGTATTAATTCAATATCCCAATCAGGAATTGTATCTAGACGAGCAATTAAAAAGTCTAAAAGTTTACGAATTTTTGAAAGATTTTTTGAATTCGCAGGAAAGACGGCTCGTAAGCTGTAATTTAATAATGGAAAATCAGATAGGATGGCGGTAAGTTGGTTGTTCATTAAGTATTTATGGGCAACTAACGTAGGTAGACATACTACCCCCCCTTCACTTAACGCAAAATCACGCAATAAATGAACTGATGAAGATACGATCTGTATATTTATCTCCATCTCTTTAAATTCATTATCATTTAAATATTGAATTCTATTTCGAGTAGGGTAGCCAGAGTAATATCCAATTTGAATTTCTTTTAACTGTTCAGGAACTAGAATATGTTTAATATTCTGGAGATACTTAGGTGAGCAACATAAGACACGATTGACATTAAATAGTTTACGTTCAATTAAGCTTTCACCTGTTGGAGGAAACATTTGAAAAACAATGTCAAAACCTTCTGCAATAGGATCAATAATTCGATCATTGACGACAATATCGATATCTAGATCAGGGTACTCTTTTAAAAAAGTAGCTAAAAAATGACCAAAATAATCTATGGCAAAACCAGGTGCCATATGGATTCTCAGACGACCTTGCATTTTTGAAGTAGCATGTGCCATTTCATCAGCTAGTATTTCAAAACTTTTTATAAGCGATGCGCACTCCCTATAATATTTTTCACCAATATCTGAAAGCCTTACGGAGCGGGTGCTACGGTGAAAAAGTGGCGCTTTAATAAAATTTTCTAGTTGTTGAATTCGATTGCTAATTACTGATCGAGTTACTCCTAATTGTTCTGCAGCTTTAATAAAGCTGCCACTCTCAGCTACTCTTACAAATGCTTCCATGCATTGTAATTTATCCATTTCAGCGTTCCTCTAATAATTTCTTAATTTTGCTGGTAAAATTAAAATTTCTTAATTCCATAATAGCATTTGTTAGACTAAAATTTAGTTTGGAGTTTATTTACAAGTATAGGCGAAATCAGCAATATAATTTTAAGATGAACAAGCCTGTACCAAAAAAGCTATCTCACAATTAATTAATCTTCTTACAACCACGCTTTTGATCAATCGCAGACATCTCTCGAACTGGTTGGACTCAAACAACCTATGATATACCGGATCAAAAGATAAACACACAAAATCAAAACTACTTAGACAAAGATTAATATTTAAAGTTTTATCAATTTTTTGAGACGATGGTAAAGCCTCATACCCCGATATAACTCTCACTTGCAATGGGAGCTTTAGAAAATATGCTGAAAGTTGTCTATATATAGCCGAAATTGATAAAATGAATTTGGTTGAGCGCTTAAATTATTTTGTGTAAGTTACATTTTTATAAAGGATTAGTGGACGTGATAGCTATTTTAAATTATCTAAATTAGGCTCAAGATTACCTTTCAATTGAGTCTTAATCTTGTAATTTCATACAGTTTCCTCTGTAGCATAATTTTTAAGTTAGAAATGACAATAACCATAATTGTATGTTTTCAATAATTTTAAGTTGTTATATGAGCATTTTGGTGAAAATTTGTTTAAATCAAAGCAACTATTAGTAGACTAAAATAATATAAGTATCTGATTAGTATTAAATAATAAATATGGCATTGAGTTTGCAGAAAGCAGATCATTTTCTAGGAAATGCATATGAATATACTCACACCATCTATCTTGAAATCTTCAATATTTGTTCTGAGTGCTCTAACTAGTGCCATCGCAATTGCAAATGAAACACCACAAAAAAGTAATGAGGATATTGATGCTGTTACTTTAGCGTCAGTGGTCGTAACGGGAAGTCGCCGAGCTGTTAAAAGCCCGTTGGATACACCAGCACCTGTCGATATTTTGTCTGAAGAACAGTTGAAAAATACTGGAACGTCTGATTTATCTAAAGCACTAACAATTTTAGCACCGTCATTTACATTCCCTTTAGAACCAGCGGGTGCATTTGCTGCGCAAATACCAGCAGGAGCATCATTACGCGGTTTAGCCTCTGATCAGGTTTTAGTCTTGATTAATGGTAAGCGTCGCCATACAGGTGCAATATTTACTCGACAAAATTTAGCGAATGGTCGTGGTGCGGCATCTGTAGATTTAAGTTTAATTCCATTAAATGCAATTAAACGAGTTGAAATTTTGAGAGATGGTGCTGCTGCGCAGTATGGTTCAGATGCAATAGCAGGTGTGATTAATATCATACTCAAAGATGATGATGACCATGGTACAGCCTCTTATCGTTTTGGGCAGTTTTCATCAGGTGAAGGCGAACAACATAAGTTATCATTATGGAAAGGATTTTCTTTGCCGAATGATGGAAGCTTAACCTTCGCCATTGAATATGGCAGTCAAGATTATGCCAATAATACCAACCCAGATAACCGTAGATTCTATCCACAAAGTTATCCTAATGCGGAATATTTAGAAGCAAACTCACCATATCGTAATTGGCGTTTTGGTTCACCAAAGGTAAATGACCAAGTCAATTCAGTGTTAAATGGCGAATTACCACTTACCGATACGATTAAATTGTATGGTTTCGCAACTTATGGTTATAAAGAAAGCGTTGGGCAAAACTTTTATCAGCCACCTTCAACCAATACAACTTTAAATCAAAACCCATATTATTTAGCACGTTATCCACATGGAAGAATCACGACATCAGTATATTCATTGTATGACCATGCAATTACAGCGGGGTTGAAAGACAATGATTTTCTGGATGGAAAATTAGATTTCTCAGTGAATTATGGTCGTAATAAAGCAGCTCAACTTTATACTAATGGGATAAATCCAAGTTACGGTTATGACTCTCCATCTGAGTATAAAGTTGGCGAAAATATTAATGAACAAAGTAATGTGAACTTGGATTATCAAAAACAAATTGCTTTAGCATTTTTAAATGAGCCAATCACTTTTGCAACAGGTATAGCCTACCGTAAAGAACAATACCAACAAATTGCAGGTGACCGAATTTCCTATACACGTGGTCCATACTTTAATCCTAGTCCAGTCATTGGCGTGGGTGTACCAGAGATTTATTCAGGTATTACTGACCAAGATGAACGTAAGATATCAAGAAATGTATTTGGTGGATATGTTGATGTAGAAGCAAAAATCCTTCCTAAATTAGTTGCTGGGGCAGCTTTTAGAGCTGAAAATTATTCAGATTTTGGTAGTACTGCCAATGGGAAGTTGTCTTTAAAATATGATATTGACCCTAAAATTGCTGTGCGTAGTACTTATAGTACAGGTTATCGTGCACCCTCAATTACTCAGTTGGGTTTTTCTGCGTATAGTCGTCAAACTGTTTTACAAGCAAATGGTGAATATCAAGACGTTTCACAACGAACATTATTGCCTGGAAGTGAAGCCGCTTTACTTTTAGGTGGTAAGGCTTTAGACCCAGAAAAGTCAAAAAATGCGTCTATTGGATTTGTGTTTAAACCCACACAAAATTTATCTGCGACTTTAGATCTATATCAAATTGATATAAAAGACAGAATTTTATTATCAGATAATATTACTGGAAATGTAATTAAAAATGCCTTTGCAGGTACCCCTTATGTCGAGATTAATAATGTCGCATTTTTTAATAACTTATTGGATACCCGAACTCGTGGTTTAGAAATTACTTCAAATTATCTGATGGATTTGGAGAAATATGGCAAGTTAAAGCTGAATTTAGGCTTTAGTACAAATCAAAACAAAATTACCAAGACACGTAATGCAATTACAGCCAAAGGTGAAATAATTCCATTTGAATCAATTGCGGGGCGTAGTACGCAAGGAATTATTGAATCAGCATCACCTAAAAATAAGCTCACTTTAGGCGCAGATTGGCGTATTCACAATTGGGATGTGACAGCACAACTTCGTCGTTATGGCGAATGGAGCACAGTTGATAGCACACGTCCAGCATTTGACCAAAATTTCTCAGAGCAATGGGTTGCAGATTTAAATATTGGTTTTAAACCAGATGTTTTAAAAGGTTTACGTTTAGATATTGGTGCTTATAACTTATTCAACTCATTTCCAGATCATGCAAAAAATACCAGTGTTGGTGGGGTAGTGAAATATAGTTTTAATGCACCTGAAGGGGGAAATGGAACATTCTTGTATAGCAAATTAAACTATGATTTCTAAGGAGATGTTCAATGAAAATGCATATTTTAAATGCTGTTTTAGCATTGAGTTTACTTGTTTCACCTTTAACACAGGCAAAAACGTACCCAGAGAACTTGGTTGGGGATAGTTATTTATCCGATTTTTATGAGTGGGATCAAGAAATTCCTAAAGTATCAGGTACTTTACTTAAAATAGAGGATTTAACCCCCTCTTATATTGGTCAATCAAAAGCATCAGCTCAATATCGAATTTTATATTCATCGACTAGTGCTATAGATTCGAGTAAAGCATCTATTGTTTCGGGGGCATTATTCATTCCTCAAGGGACGCCACCCAAAGGTGGATGGCCACTTTTAGTTTGGGGCCATGGAACTGTTGGTTTAGCTGATACATGTGCACCTTCTTGGGCTGGTCGTTTATATATCGGTGTTGAACATTTAGACAAATGGCTTGACGAAGGGTTTGCAGTGGTTGCAACAGATTATGAAGGCTTAGGAACGCAAGGCGCACATTGGCTAATTAACAATCCAATGTTAGCCTATAACATGCTCGATAGTGCTACGGCAGTAATTCAAGCAAACTTAAAAATTGCGAATAAAGTGATTTTGTCAGGAGAATCACAAGGTGGGGCAGGAGCATTTGCTGCAGCTGCATATGCACCACAATATGCGCCAAAGCTCAATATTAAAGGTACGGTTGCAACGGGGGTTATTTATCGAGATCGAAATGCAAATAAACAAGAGATCATTCGTTCTAATCCACATGAAGTTGTTACAGCAATTGCTTTACCGATGTATAGCTTCATCGCAGCACAAAGTTATAATCCAAAGTTGAAAACAGAGGATGTCTTTACTGAAAAAGCGTTGCCTTTCGTGGAGCGAGCAAGAAATACATGTATTATTACTTTACAACGTGATGTGACGAGTGCAGGTCTGACTTTTG